GTTCACCCGAGCTGGGAGCCTGCTCCCAGAGCACCGCCATCGCGGCAGAAGCATACACAGACACGCACACGCACGCAGGCGACATGCACCTCCCAGGAATCCTGGGCAGGATGTCCCAGACGAGCGCTGGGTGAGGCCCGCATAGACTGTCCCCATGCTCAGGGCCCTCCCCTCCCAGGGCTATCTCACCTTCCACCAGGTGCACCCTGAGGGGCCTCCTTCCTCCCCGCAAACAGCCACACCCACAGCCACACCCACCATCGTTGCCCTTGCTCCTCGCCGGGCTAGCAGGGACCGGGCATGGTCTCCTCCTCCAGGCCCCATCCGCAGACAGGGAGGTGGAGGCAGGGGGCTTACGCAGGGCGGGCTGTAGGGCTTGAAGGGAGACCCCAGCAGAGCACTACACCCAGGCTCCCATCTCCATCCAAGGGGTCCCCTGGAGCAACCCTGGGCCCCTCAGACCCACAGCACCCTGAAGGACTCAACCTACCCCCAACCTTCAGACCAAGCTACCCCCATTCTCCCCACGACGGGGCGGGCCACACCCCACCCCTCTGGCCTTGGGGCCACGTAAGCTGCCAGGGCCCAAACCTCTACCCCCAGGCCACACAGGGACCCTACAGCTGTGTCCTTTGGCCAGCAAGGTGGCTCATGACGTTGGAATGAGCCACCAACATTTCAAAATCTCCAAATCCACAAAAAACCCCACATTACTAGCCGCTCTCAGAAACCCCCAAGATCTGGCCACACAGGACCCTCGTCCCCTCATGGCAATGAGGGTGGCAGCGGCCCCCAGGACGTGGCACATGTGGTCTGGCCCCCCGATAGCAAGTGGGTGCCTCCCCTCAGGCTCCTGCCACTTCAAACCCAAGGCCAGCTGTGGCCCCAGGGGGCCCCTCTGGGCTCAGATGTCTCGGCAAGGAAGCAGGCAAGGAACAGCGGGGGCCCATGGGCACCATGGGGCTCGATCCCGGTGGGGCCATTCTGGAGGGAGAAGGGGTGGGCCCGGCACGGGGGGCTGCAGGTTCCCACCCTCTCCCGCTGACCGGCGCCCTGTCAATTCTGTCTCCCCCACGTGGGCACTCAAGTGCCAGGGCCACACTCCCAGAGCAGAAGGGCCTAGAAACGCAGCGCCAGCCCACACCTGCCTGGCCGGCCCGAGCACCTGCACAGGACCCAGAAGGCAGAGATCCCAGCACTGCCCCTCCGGTCAGGAGGAGGGAGGGGACGGTGGGCACAGCCGGAGCCCATCGCACGTCTCAGAGGCGCCTCCTGCAGCACCCAGAGAGGGGCCCCCTCCCGAGCAGCGGCTCCGAGGGACACAGCAGGACGGCCTGCTGGGTGACTACGGCGAGCGCAGCCCCCCGAACGCACACCACAGCACGGTGAGCCGTGTCCGGGCCGTGCACCCCTCCCTGGGCGCCCCCTCCCCGGCTGCTTTCCCGATGCTCGGCAGGAATGCAGCGAACAGGCGGCAAGTCCAGATGCGCAGAAAACCACTTGTCGGAATAAATCACTTCACGTATGACACACACTCACTGATGCTGTCATAAAAATAATGGCACGGCACTTTTTATTTTCTTTAATCGGAAAAATAAGCCCCGCGTTTCGGGAGACCCTGGTGAGGACCAGATGCCCGTGAGCCCTGCTGTGGGCGCTGGGCGGCCCCCACACCCAGCCAGTGGGGACCCCAGAGGGCCAGTGTCCTCATGAGCAAATGGGGTGGGCGGGGGGGGCACCTCCAAGCCTCCACGAAGAGGGTCAGCACTGGAGTGGCTGTCGCGGCTCAGTGACACTAGGCACACAAAGGGCTGCCGGGAGCCCAGCCAGGGCACCCCCAAGTGGCTGATGCGGCTGTCCAGAAGGGGCTGCAGCCCCCTTCTCCAGAGACCCTCAAATTCTGGAGGGTCAGAGCTGAGCTCTTGCCTTATGCCCAGGACTCCAGGAGCACCAGTGTGGGACTGCCCTGAGCCAGGGGTCTGGGGTGAGGAACGGGCGACCCCTCGGCATGGGTCTGGGATGGGCGGAGGGCAGAAAAAGCCCTGTAGTGTGAGGTCTGTCCCGACAGGGAATGTCCTGGGGGGCCAACAGCTGGACAGCTGCACGGGCTGAGTGGGAGGCCAGGAGGAGGCATTCCAAGAATGGCCCCGGCCCTCCTGGTCCAGAGCTGGGGGGATGGGAGACTCTGCCTCCACTTCAGTCCCTAGCCACTGGGGTGGAGGCAGAGTTGGGGGGGTGGGGGAGGACACCTTCCTGTCACCAGCAGCTCCTACTTGGCCACAGACAGCCCTGAGTGCCCCCCGTGTCCCCTCCCTGCCTTCACAGAACCCTGGAGATGCACACGCATCCTCGCCCTTCGCCTGAGGGGAGGTGAGCGGGACCTGTGGCCTGGCTCCAGCTGGGCCCACATTCTGCCTAGGGGCATGGAATGCACACTGGCAAATGGGTTAGGGCCCAAGGAGCACGAGGCCTGAGCTGGCACCCCCCACAACACGTATGCACACACACCACATACACGCACCCACACCCGGGCTGGGCGTGCACAGGCTCTGACATACAAGGACACGTGGGCACTTCAGAGGCACAGAGAGACACTGAGGAAGGCCTCCAATAAGCCCGAGCCCTTGGGGGCAGCCGTGTCCACTCTCCTAGGAGCGTGCGCATCCCAAAGTAGCTGACACGATGGGAGCAGGCATGGCAGGGAGGTGGGAAGACGCTGGGGGTCCTCTCCTCTCTTCCTGGTGCAGGTGGGCCTCAGCCTGGTAGCGGCCCTGCAGGGGCTGCCTCTGCTGAGCCTCAGTTTCCAACCGCAAACAGCCCGGCCTGTCTGGAGAAGGCCTCTGGCCAGGCTGGCAGCACATCTGCCCAGCACAGCCACACCCAGGGTGGCCTAGAAAACGGGCATCAGGCTCCAGGACTCACAGACGGGGCCTGGCGGGCCACCGCAGGGGTGGAAGATCGAGTCCGTCGTGACCTCAGGGGCCTGCAGGGACGGCCCAGTGCCAGGAGTGAGAGCTGCGGCTGATGGGCCCGAACCAATTCCAGCAGTGACCGCCGTGGCTGGCTCGGGGGCCCCAGGAGGGGCCGACGGGGCGGGGCTGGCCGGCCTAGGAGCGACGGGCGCTCAGGGATGGGGAGTAACGGCTGGGGTTTGCAGGGCTGGCTGGGACCCAGAAGGGACTGCAGGGGCTGGCAGGGCTGCTCGGGGCCCAGGAGTGGCCGCTTTCGTCGGCAGGGCTGTTCTGGGCCCAGGAGTGGCCGCTTGGGCGGGTGAGGCTGTTCTGGGCCCAGGAGTGGCCGCTTCTGTTGGCATGGCTGTCCAGGGCCCAGCAGTGAAGGTTTTGGGGGGCCAGGGTGCTCTGGGGCTTCTACTAATTGCTGGGGCTGGCTGAGGCCCAGCAGTGACCCCTGGGGGCAGCTGGGCTGGCCCAGAAGGGACCTCCGGGGCTGGCAAGGGGCTAAGAGAGTGCGCCGGGGGCAGCAGCACTGGACTGAAAGTGAGCTGGCGGGTCGGCGGCGTGGACGCAGCAGGAGAAGTGACTGCGGGGGACGGCACCGCTGTCCTGAGGATGCCCTGCTGGGCTGGCCACGGAGACAGGGGGCCACCCACGACCGCACGGGCCAGCAGCGGTGCCAGAGGGCCAGCAGAGAGCGCAGGGGCCGGCAGAGGTGGCATGGGGCCAGCAGGGAGCGCAGGGGCCGGCAGCGCTGCCAGGGGGCCAGGAGGGAGCGCAGGCGCCGGCAGCGCTGCCTAGGGCCTAGGAGCGCCCAACGTGGCCGGCAGGGCTGAGCCAGGAGTGACTGCTGGGGCCGGCAGGGCTGCTCTGGGGCTGGAAGCAGCCGCTGAGGCCGGCAGGGCTGACCCGGGCCCAGAAGTGACCGCCGGGGCTGGCAGGGCTGTCTTGGGCCCAGAAGTGACCGCTGGGGCCAGCTGCGCTGACCCGGGAGTGGCCGCTGGGGCTGGCAGGGCTGCCCGGGGTCCGGGAGAGCCCGACGGGGCTGGCAGCGCTGACACGGGGCTGGGAGTGACCCCTGGGGCTGGCTGGGCTGGAGCTGCTGCTGGCGCTGGGCCGGGCCGTTCTGGTCCCAGTGGTTGGCTGGGAGCGGCCCCCCTTCTGGGGAGCACACCTGCATGGAAGAAAGAGCACGTGTCCACCTGGGCAGGTGTGCCTGCAGACCCCCCAACCAGCCCGGGCCCCTGAGACATGCTGCCCCCTCACCAGCAGCCCAATCCCCAAGGGAGTTGAAAGTGGAGTGTGAAACACCAAGAAGAACCCCTCTCTGAAAAGAAGGCGCATACCAGTGAGTCCCTGAGGAGGAAAGCAGCTGCAGGGCTGAGCCGGCACCTGGGATAGAGCCCCACGCTCTGGGAGAGGGCCCCCCAGTCCCAGTCTCCCCACCCTACCCAGCTGGGCTCTGGTGACAGCAAGGATGGCCCCTCCCACCAAGGGCCCGTCTCCCAGCTGCTGTGGAGGGAGGCCCCTGGGCGGGGCTGCTCCCTGCACCGGGGCCCCTGACCACGAGTCACGTGACACACCCCCCCTCACAGATACGCTGTACCCTACAGAAGATCAGCAGATGGAGAACACCCAGTGCTGAGCCCGGCCCCCACGCATTACAGACACCCTGGACACCCCGTGGTCGGCGGAGCCTGACAGACGCAATGGGGAAACGGGGCCAGCCTATCAGCGGGTGCACCCTCCTGCCCCAAGTACACGCTCCCCCACCCCCAATCCCTGGGCTCCCAGCTTGGCCTCTCTGGCTGTGTGACCCACCAGGGGAAGGTCTCCTGTCTGCTCAGGACCTGGGCTCACGGCGAGCGGCTGCCTCGGGCGCCAGTCCACATGTGCCCCATACCCCACGCCCAACAACGATGGAGCACGTTGCCAGGCAGGCCCAGATGCCGACGGTGGTGTCCAGGTGCTGGTGTGGCCCCGAGGGCACCCAAGGGAGAGGGCACAGAGCCCATGGTTCTGAGCGGGGCAGGGCCCAGTGCTCACCTGCTTGGTGGGCTGCAGTGGGACCTTCTTCTTCCCCCGGTCGCAGGCAGGCTCCAGGTCCTGCTCGGGACTGACGATCTCCAGGGGACGCCCATTCTCACTTGGTTCTGCGGATGGGCAGTTCTCTGACTCGCGGGGCTTCTTGGCAAGGCGACGTTCCCATTTCTCCTTCCGCTCATGTGGCTTCAGGGCCATGTCCTTCTGTGAGTGAGGAAGGACAAAGCTGGTTAGTTGGCAGTGACGTCAGTGACACCATGGTAGACCGTGCCCTGAGGGCGGGTCCCTGGGCATGTGACAGCACCTACCTGGAGTGCCAAGCACCACCCCCTCCCCCGAGTGGGCTATCAGGCCGGACTCACGCCTCAGGAAGACGGGCAGATGGGTCAGACGAGTGTGGGTGGGCCTGTCAGGACTGGGGGGCTCAGAGAGTGATGTGAAAACACAGCTGGACCAGCAGCTGTTTCCCAAGGGACCCCAGCCGGTCACGGGGGCCCCTACTCCGTGGCCCAAAATGCAGCAAGTGCCGCACTGGCCTTTCTAAGGGTGTCCCTCCGATTCCTGAGTTGAGGGCCATCACCACAGCAGCTGACCACTGCCCCTGGTCCGGAGCCACCCATAGGTTCCTCTGCCCAACTCCATGCAGCACGGCATCCAGCCAGCTATGCAGAACGTCAGGGACCCTGGACCCCCTCCCTAGGACAGGGACCTGTGCCCATCTTGCTCACAGCTGCACCTGGTCCCAAAGCAGGGACTGACACCCAGCGGGGGTTTACTGAGCATGCCCTGCTGTGCCGATGCCAACCACAGCAGAAGGGTGCCCGCAGCACCAAGCACAGCCCCTACTATGCAGAGCCGGTCCTGCCAGTGAGCCGAGCCCAGGAGAAGCTGCATTTACTGGCGGTGGCCAGCCTTGTGCTTGGGCCCATGGAGCAGGGTGGGAGGTACCATCTCCACTGGCTGCTGAAGACGAGGGAAGGACCCACTGGGAAAGCATTCACGCAAGGGGGAGGGGAGGAGAGCCTGAATGAAGGTGATGCAGTGGCTGAGGTGCGCCCCCACGTCCCAGGTGATACCCTCACGGCCCCGCAGGAAGTGCTTCTTGAGAACCTGAGGGGTGACTGTGGCAGCCTCTCCAAGGGCTGGCCTCTGTGCTCAGCTGGGCACCTGGCCCCCCAGCCAGGCCTCAGTCCACCTGGGCAGGTGGCAGGGAGAACCAACGTCCCAGTCTGCTGTGGTCCCCTGGCCTGGCGATGGAGACGGGGACACGCTGTGCTTGGCAGGTGAGGTCCTCCGACCTCGCACTACACGCCTCCTCCTGTCTGTGCGAGGGGCCCACAATCCCCAGAACTAGTAAGGTGCACCAACATGGCTGGCCAGACTGGCACTGCCCTTCCAGGCCCGGAAGCCCCCACGACTGTCCTGCTGTGTGTGACCCCACAGCCTGGGCTGGGAGCAACCGTGCGTGGCTGCAGGCCGCACCTGGGGGCAGCAGCAGACTCCTCCTCTCTGAGGGTGGACATTCCACACTCCCAGGATTCTCCCGAGGGGCCCACACCACAGTCACACAGACGGAGGACAGCCCCACCAAAGCCTCTCACCTCTGATGTGACACTAAGGGCTGGAGTGTGCATCCTCCTGCATGAGGAGGGGTTCACCCTGCATCCCCACCGCCTCCCCAGGGCTCACTGAGGGGCAGCGGGAAGGGAGAGGGGAGGTTGGGCTGGCAGGGGCGCCTGCCCTGGGACATCCGCAAGGTTGGGAACCCTGCCTTGCTGAAGCTGTTCAGCTTGGAAGATGATGGCCAGCTTGGCCCATGCCACGTGGCTCTGCCCGAAGCTCCACAGGCTTCTGTGAGGGCAGCAAGTGGACCCTGACTTCTCAGACCACACTGGCCTTCTGGAGTATCAGACCCCAGGGACACCCACAGGCTGCTGGCATTTCGGTGGCCGCTCCTGGAGTCCCGGTCAGATGAACCCCTCAGAGCCCTGGCTCATCTCAGCCCAAGGGGGCCGCCCCCCCCACACCCTGACATCGGAACCCCTGCTCACTGTAAGACCTCCCAGCCCCTGCCCTGCCTATGGGTCTCAGGTCGATTCCAGACTCGGGGTCCCCCACCTTTGCGTACACAAAGCTGGCAGCAAACACTGACCAGCCAGCTCAGCTCCAGGCGCCAGCAAGCAGCTCAGAAGGCAGCTGGCTCAAGCGGACACGAGGGCAGCCCCAGCTGGGAAGCCCAAGGGAAGGGGCTAGGTTAGAGCCTCCCATAGAGGAGCGGCAAGTGCGGCAAGTGCAAACAGCCCGAGGGGGCGAGGAGCTCCATGCTCCCTCCCTCCCTCCCTCTCTCGTGCCTGCTTCCCTGGCTCCATTAGTCAGCACAGGGCCACAAGCCTCCCTGTGGAAGGGAATCGGGGCGGTCCCTCCAGTGATGAGAACGTCCTGAAGACCTGAAGACCGCAGCTCATTCTCCACTCTCCACATGCGGGCACTTGATACTTACTGACGCCCGGTGCTCCCAGGACACCCGAGTGCCATACCCCCTTTCAGACAGTCGGTCACTCTTAACTCATCGCTTTCAGGCCTCCTGCCCTGCTTGAGGGCCAGTCTTGCTGCTCACAGGCTGGTCCCCCCACACAGGCCCTAGACAACACGGAGGCCCCCACCGCCCCTACCTCTGCGCCCTGGATGCTGCCACCCAACTGCAGGCCGCAGCACCTCACCACCTACCCTCGGGGTCCCTTCCTGGCCCCAGCCCCGCATTATGGTACAGAGGGTAGGCCCAGCAGACTGTGCTCAGAGGCCCGCAGGGAAAAACCAGAGCAACATGGTGTAAAGGGTGGACCAGCTTTCCAGAGAAACAGACCAGCAGGACGCCAACACACAGACAGCCTTCCTCTGAGGAGCTGGCTACGCAGGTGTGGGGCCCAGATGCCCCAAGATCTGCAGGGGTACAGTTCTTCCCAGGGCTGGGCAAAACCTCGGTCCCAGCTCAAGGGCCCAGGCAGGAGGAGCGCTTTCCTCCTTGGGGGAGGGTCTGGCTTTCTGCTCTGTTCAGGCCTTCAGGGGATTGGGTAAGGCCACCCACACGCTGGAGGGCCACCTGTCTCACTCACTTTACAGATTTAAATGCTAAAGTCATCCAGAAAGACCCTCACAGGTACCCAGAATGATGTCTAACCAAACGCTTGGGTCCCTGGGGGACATGGGCCCCGCCACGGGCAGGTACAGACACTATTTGGAGCGCATGCGGGCGTGGTGAGGAGGTGGGAGTTTGAGGCGCCCCACACGCACGTGGAAGCACATGCGCAATGCTCACACTCCCATGTGTGCACCCACCCCTGGCCTCCACAGCCTGGGCAGGAGACGGGGCTGGAGTCCCAGAGCCGGATGGGTGTCTCTGCCAGGCCCTCTCTCTGTGCAGCGGCTGCACTGTGTGAGCTCCTGGGCCCCACCCCACCTCGGCCCTAACATCAGCTTCTCAGCACCCCGGTGCTGGAAGTGGCCTGGGGCTGCCCCGAGGCCCTTCCAGAACCCGCAGAGGGGCCAGGGCAGGGCCTAGAGGGAGGCCTGAAGTATCAGTATGACTGATGCATACTTTGGGTGAAAGATGTGATTAGATGTGTCTGGAGAAGTGGCCTGGGGCGTACACACCACGCACCCCCCACGGGCCACCTAGACCTTCGTACTGCCACAGAAAGCAGCCAGGCCTCTCTCCTCAGATGCCCGCGGGCCACCTCCTTCTGCAAGAAGCCGTGACTCCACACATGGACCTCCTGAGCCACTGTGGGGTGAGCCCCACTTTCACAGAGAGAGCCACTGGTTCTGAGGACCTTCCGATCAGGTAAAATCACAGAAACAGTTTCTAGCCTGGGGGACTGCCTCTGAAGTCCCATATCTGAGCCCTGTAATGAGAACAGGGCTGGCCTGCGGTATATATGATCAGAAGCACAAGCAGATACTAACTGGGAAACCTGTGGGAACAGCCTGCCCCTCTGGGACACCTGGCTGGGCTGGGATCCGTCTTTCTAATGAGCGTTTATAGTCAAAACAGACAAAACAGGGGGGGGCGGATGGAAGGGCAGACACTGCACAGCAAGCGCGGTGAACCGCCAGCCGCAGACCAGGCGGCGGGCTCCACAAAGGCCTTCCTCTAGGCCCTGCCCTGGCCCCTCTTCGGGTTCTGGAAGGGCCTCAGGGCAGCCCTAGGCCACTTCTCCAGATACCTCCAATCACATTTTTCACCCAAAGTATGCATCAACCACAAATCGATCACATCGCTTTCTGTAAACCTGTTGTATTTGTTTGTTTGCTTCTTAAACAAACAAAAAACCTAGATTGCTAGAACCCTTGAAATATCAGTGACTGGGCCTCTCCTCTGGCCTGGACTCAACCCAGCAGCATCCTGGCCCCAGGACAGGAGCTCCTGCATCTGGAAGAGGGGGGGAGCTGGGAAGCAAGTCGCCCCCCGCCCAGCAGAAGGTGAGCCAATAGGCGATAGGCCTGGGCCCTGTGCACACGGAGGGTTAACGACACCATGGGCCTTCTGGCTCAAGCGGGCAAGAGGCCTGGTGCGCCAGGATCCAGAGGCGGCCATCTCCACCCAGCCACTGCCCTGAGAATGACCCCAGGCATCCTTGGGCTTCCTGGAGGAGACCCGATGCTGTGCCCCCAAGGGGCTCTTGGTCACAGGACTCAACAATTCCTGCCTTGAGGCATTGCTGGGATATGTCTGGCTGGCCCTTTCCCAGCATGCCAAGGCTGGGGCTGGCCTTCACTTGTTATGCTGACCCCGTGTGAGCCCAGGCCAGTTCTGGAGGCTCATCCAAGCTGAGGCACACACCACCGCAGTTCTGCCCCCACTGAGCCTGCAGTGGGGGTGCTGGCCCTGGGTCCCAGTCGACGCTCTGCCCGGAGCGTGGGGCCTCTGGGTAGGTGCCGTTTCCTCATCTGTAGACTGGGGCAGCAGCTCTGCCCAGGCTGTGGTGACCGCTCTGGGCGAGGGAGAGCCGCAACAGCAGTGACTGCCCCACCACGGGCCAGGGCAGGTCTCCGAGTAGAGGGTTCCTCGGGGCGGACCCCCAGGGCGGGAGGCTGAGGCGAGCGGTGGGCTGGTGTCTGACTTGCAGGATGCTCAGCGCGCTGCTGGTGGATCCACACTAGGAGCCCACAGAATTGGAATGTGCCCACAGGGAAGCGGGCCCTGC